TAGTTGCAGTTACCAACTGGTTTTGTCCTTCTAATGAAATCTCTTGATTTGTTGAAACTTGGCTTTTCAACATTTACAACTAAGGCGTTCTGCCTTGATGATTTATCGATTGTGTCGAAAGTCTTTATCTCTCTTTCGAAAGCACAGAGATGAGTGATTAAATCATCTATCGACTGCTTTTCTTTACCTAGCATTAGCCAACTTGATTTAAAATTTTGGAAACTATTTGGGAGAATCTGCATCGCTTTGCATACTAATAGCAGCTCTGGTAGTTTATTTTCTCCCGATGCCTGAAGCCCACTGTTTAATTCATTCCATAAAGTTTTCAATCTTGCAATTTGGCCGGATACATCTACATCCGCTATCCAATTGAAATCGAAAAAATTGCTACAAACTTGGAACAGTTGGTCCTTAGTTGACACTTCAAAATTTCTTTTTAATTCCTCCCAAACTTCAAACGCTGTGTTCTTGTCCATTATCTTTTGGTATGTATCTTCTGTGACTGCATTTGCAATTACTGATTTGGCATAACTGTTTGCCTTTCTAAACAGATCTGATTTATTTTTAAAATCTTTTGCCTGTTGCTCTGTTTGGTTTTCTAGTAATTCTGGTTTCGACAACTTCCCATCAATCACATCAAGTGCGCCCTCATGGTAGTCCATGAAATCTCGAACACGACGTTTCCAAATGGGCCAATCGGCTACGCAACTTAACTGTTTTATTTGAAGCTTTGAATCCATTTCTTCCTTGTCTTTCAATTTGACCTTTTAACTAGAAGCAAAATATAGAATCTCAGAGAATGAAGAAGCACGTGCTTTCTCTTCACTTCAGTCTTCACAAAGGAATCTTCCGATATTTCTTTATTCTAAATTTTCTTCGTCAAATCAATTAATTAAGAAAAAACGTTATCTGGGCCCATAACCTGTTAAATTTCTTATTACGTAGATCGCTTAATTAATTGATACAATATTGAAAGACATTAATAGACAAGAAATAAACTTTGCAACGTTCTCGATTTGTTTATTATCAACCGGATCAACAGAAAAAGGAAAAGTGAAGTTACATACAAAGCAAAGAACATTTGGTCCAAAGAAAATAAATGTATATTATAAATCATAATGTTTTAATATAAAACATAAAACTTAACAACCCCAATACATGAATGTTGTTGACGCGCACAGTCGTCAAAAGGGCATTTAAATTCATATATTACATGATTACGCTTCAAAGTAAAATCGTCTTTAGGAGTGCTGTTGTTCTTTAAGACCAATTGTGATGTCTTACAGTTGTTGTAGTATATTCTGAGTTTTATTTTATTAGTATCATTGATTGGTGTAACATTTCTTTTCATGATATGTTTGAGAAAGACTTCATCTATTTTATGTGCCGTTGACATATGATTTCTGTAGTATAGGATTATGTCGTTGTCATTTTTGTTTTTTAATATATTGCTATCCTGGTAAACTGGTACAAAAAGTCAGCATGAACGTGACGGTGGTGGAATGACAGTGTACAAAATGCAATAGGTGAAAAGAAAGTTGCATACAAGCAATGGCAAAAATCAAAGTCTGTTGATGACCATAAAATTTTCCGTGAGAAGAACAACTATGCAAGACGTCAAGTTGCACTGGCTCGGACAAAACAGTGCAGAGAGTGGCTCACTAAAAGCAAAGGTGAACAAATGAAATCTCTGTATCGTATAGCAAAACAAGCACGAAAAATGACATAGTTGGTGCCTCATGTATCAAAAATGACAAAAATGAGATGGTTCTTGAACAAGATGAGATCAAGCTACAGTGGATAGAATACTTCAACCGTCTGTTAAACGAAACAGATCCCATCAATGTTAACTTTGACGCTCCACCCATCGAAGGTCCGATTCCAGACAGAAGCTCTGAAAGCTATGAAGGATGGAAAGGCAGCAGGGCCCTCTGGACTCACAAATGACATTATCAAAGCATCTGGTACATCCAAACGTTATTACAACTTTGCCGTGAAATCTGGAGAAATTGCTCAATGCCGACTGAATGGAACTATAGCATGACAGTCCCGCTATACAAAGGCAAAGGTGATCAATTGAACTGTTTATCATATCAAGGTATACGTCTGTTAGAACACTCCCTGAAAATTTTCGAGAAAATCATTGAAAGAAGATTAACGTCGTGCATCACAATCGAAAATTATCAATTCAATTTCCTCGCTAGGAAACCAACAATTGATGCAATTCACATCCTTCGGCAACTGCAAGAGAAGTACCTCGCAAAGCATCAACAACTATCACACATTTTTGTAGACCTTGAAAAAGCATTTGATCGAGTTCCCCGTGTAGCAATCAGGTGGAGTCTACGTCGACAACTCATTCCAGAATATCTTGTTAGACTTGTGATGGAAATGTATACGAATACTAAGACTCTTGTCAGCACAACGGTTGGAAACACAGTTGCATTTGACATCGGCGTTGGAGTTCACCAAGGCACGATTCTCAGTCCACTGTTATTTATAACTGTGATGGAAGAAATCATAAAACCGATACGCACTGGTGACATTTGGAATCTAATATATGCTGATGATATCGTTTTAACAGCCACGTCTGAGCAGAATGCAGCACAGATGTTTGAAGATTGGAACACCAGACTGGCCGATCATGGATTCAAAGTCAACATCAGCAAAACCAAAGCAATGAACACAGGTGACCCATCCAATCCACAGCTACTGGACGATGGCCCTGTTCAGTTTGTAAAGCTGGTGTAGGTAATCAATTCAATTCAAAACAATTCAATCAAGTGTCAGCAGTGTAACCAGTGGTGTCACAAACGTTGTTCCAAAATAATTGGTACTTTATATAAAGTGTCTTATTTTGTTTGCCCTGATCTCATCAGTCCACAACAACAAATTCGAAATAGCACTGTTTTTGAAGCCATTAAGGTAGAGAAATTTACATCGTTTCAATATCTAGGGAATGTTCTGGATTGTACTGGAACAGTTGAAGCTGCCGTTCGAGCACGCATACGTGCAGCCTGGAATAAATGGCATCTCCTTGCCTCTATATTGATGCGGCGTGACATCCCACTACCACTACGATCAAGACTTTATAAATCTGTGATACGTCCGGTGTTTTTATATGGTGCAGAAACATGGCCAATGACAACCAAACTGGAACAACAACTTCAACGAACCGACATGAAAATGCTCCGATGGATGCAACGAATTAGTCTGGCAGACCACATCAAATCAACCGGAGTCCTGCGTCGTGCTGGTTTGGATGATATAAAGGACGAATGCCGGCAACACCGTCTGCAGTGGTTTGGTCATGTCAAACGATGTGGAAACAGTGCCATAACTTCTCTTGCAGATGTTGAAGTACCTGGCACACGTCCCAAAAACCGTCCAAAGAAGTCCTGGTCGTGAACAATCGAGCAAGACATGAAAGCTCTAAATTTAAATGAAATGGATACAACTGATCGTTTAATTTGGCGCAAAAAGTTGATGGCAAAGAAAACATCGGTCTCTGGACGCAAAACGAAGATTGATTGATTGTATTTTAATTTGTTTAATTTGTGTTTAATTATTATCTCTATATTAATTATAAATATTATATTTTTTATATATTATATGTTTATATGTATTATATATGTTTATATATAATTTTATTTTTTATATTTCAAATTAAATAATCTAATCTTTTATTTTAATTTCAATCAATCAATCAATCAATCAATTCTCGTTAATAGTCTCCATCCGTTATGGGTCAGAATTTATTATTCCATTCATCAGCTTCTGTCTCCTTGAGACCAAGTGTCTTCAAGTCATTCTGTATGATTGGCGTTCAGGACTTTTTCAGGCGACCTCTTGGGTCAGTAACGGAAATTATTGTATCGTTTTCGCTTCGCTTCGCATGCATCCTCAAACGTGCGCAGTCCAGGATCTCTGTTGTATGGATATGGTCCCTTAGGTCAACAGGCTGCATCTAACGAATCATCTTCATGTCGGTTTGATGAAGCTGTCGTTCGAGTTTTGTTGTCATCTGCCTCGTCTATGCATCATACATCAGAACAGAACATTGCTGTGTTGCATAGCTCTGAGCGCAGCGTAAGAGGAATGCTACGTCGCCTCAGTTTCGAGGCAAGGATGTCCTATCTGCCGCACGCCGCAGGTATGCGTCCTCGAACGGCGGCATCAGCTGTTCCAGTACAATCTAGCCAATCTCCCAAATACTGAAATGAAGTAGCAGTTTCGATCCAGGTAATTGTATCATCATCTGGGCCCTGATGCAGGCGGGGCATACAAAATCAGTCACTTTCCTCAGTGAGCCGGTAATTCTCGAGCATCGTCTGTGACACCACTGCTGACGTCGAAGGCATTTGATCGAGTTGCTTCCAACTCCAGCCCCTCACACGAAACATGGCCAATGATCGGAGATCATGTTTCGTGTGAGGGGCTGGAGTTGATCGGAGATCATTGGCCATGTACCACCGGTGATCATAGTTTTTGTTTTCAAACTTTCTGGCTGCGTCTTGTTTCGAGGCCGCCGTCAGGACGATATCATCTGCATATATCACATTCTATATGTAATCTGAGCGTATTGGTTTGGTTATTTCTTCTATCACCGTGATGAAGAGCAAGGGCTGAGTATTGATTTCTGATGGACGCCGACGTTAATGTCGAATTGTGTTGACCAGAATTTTTTTTGTTAGAGTACGTTGCCATAACTAGCCAAGCCAGATATTCAGGAACAAGCCGTCTACGTAGACTCCACCTGATTGTCTCATGAGGCATTCTGTTAAAAGCCTTTTCCAAGCCAAAAATACTTGGAACAGTCGTTTTTGCTTTATCAAGTATTTTTCCTGTAGCTGACGAATTATATAGATAGATCTCCCTGCCATGAAGCCGTACTGTAACCACATATTGAAACGCACGACAACAGTCTTCTCTCAATGATTTTTTCAAGGACTTTGGTATTCCGTAATAGTCGTCTGTGTTGTTGTCTGACGACAATAAAGTCAATTTGTGTGCATGGCATCCCGCTTTTTTATATGATCAAAATGTTTAGCCCTCTTTTTGAAGTAGGCATTCAACAGGGAGAGTTCATGGCTTTCAGCAAATTCCAGAAGCCGTAAACCGTCTTCGTTTTGAGACCCGTAGCCAAAGCCTCCATGGACACAGTGGAACCCATTTGCTTTATTCCCAACATGGCCGTTGAAGTCGCCACATATCAATGGTATCTCTGATGATGGTGTTTTCCAGACGGTATCTGAGAGTGTGTTTCAGAAGTCATTTTTGGCGTCTACAAATTCACCGGTCTGCGATGAAAACAGTCAGAACCTGTTTTCCCATTCTGAGTTTAATCAGCATTAGGCGTGAGCTGATTCAAGTCACCTCCAGTACATTTTGTGCCAGTGATTTCCGTATGAAGATTCCCACTCCATTTTGGACTGTCTTTTGGCCATTCACGAACAACTTGTAACTCCCAATGTGAGAGACATCATTTGATTTTCATCTTGTTTCCTGCAAAGAACAGATGACAACCCTTCGCCTTTTCAGCATGTCGACGATCTCCATGGAGCGTCCAGTAAGCGATCTAGTATTTAAAGTGCTAAGTCTGATATTCCAGAAGGGAACGCCCGATTTTCCGCAACATCACTCCACTGTTGCGTTCATCCTGGATATATGGCAAGATAATTTATTATCAAAGTAATCTAATCTAAATCCACTGTCCTGTTCCACAAGACAGTAGATTTAGATTAGAATATCATCCGCTGTTGTTTGTATGTATGTATTTGTTCAATTATTCATGCAATTAATTATTCATTCATTCATTCGAAAAATAAATTAAAGAAGAAATGAGTAGATAAAACAAATCCAGACAAGACCGACCTAAAGTTTGATATTTCTTCTCGAGCAGTATATTCTTCATGCTGGTTTTCTTTTGGACCTCGTGGATGGCGCTAACAAATCTCTTGTGCGGTTTGTCTTGTTCAGATTCAGCCTGTTCTAACCTCTGCCTCACTTTCAACTCCCAATCAGAACTTTTCAGCGATTCCTCGCATGCCTTCAATTTCGCCTTCGTCGTATTCAAAAAAGCCATCGTATTCTGTGCATCTATTGTTTTTGTTTATTTATTGCTTAATCAATAGCTGATCTTTCTGTTTAAAAGTATTTAAAAAAGTATTTTTAATTTTCGTATGACTTTCAGATAATCAATCTTTTTCATGATTTTTAAACAGAATTATTTGTAATAGGATCTGATTCATAATAAAAAAATGTTTTTCAATACGATTGTTTACTAATTTTTAGGTCGAAAATTTCCTAGAAGAGTCCATTACAGTATAGCAGCAGATGCTAGATTTGATGGGGAAATACTGACTAGTGACCCAGTTGATCATGTAAATAATCCAGAATTTGCTCAAGAACTTGCATGGGAGATTGACAAGTTATTTTTACTATTAATATTTTGTTTAATAGGGGTGTAAGACTTTATAGTAAACCTTCACTGTAGTCATTATCAGTTAGTTATTTTAACAAATTTGTTCATAAAATTGTTTTTTGCACAGGAAGTTTAATAATGTTGCTTTTCCTGTTGCTTATTTTTGTTGTTGCTGCTGCCAATAATCAGTTTATTATGAGAAGTTTAGTGTCGTATTTGCAAGCCAGGCATTACTTTATTTAGTTTTGATGTTTTGGCATGGATGTGTTTATTTTCTGATATTTTATTAAAAGTTGTTATGATAGTAGATCGGTTTGTTGTTTTATGATACGTATCTTGTATTCCTCATATAGATGTTCTTGTGAGGTGATGTTTTGGCAGCCTTTTTTGTTCAGAGGGCGTTGTTGTATTTATGGTTTTTGTAAATATGTTTTTAATGAGTTTGAAATCTAGATTGGGTAAGCTTATTCTATTATTGGTCTAACTATACTGAAATTTTTGAGGTGTAATAAGCGAAACTGTTGAATGTTGTGTCAAAATTTTGAACAATCTTTTATTGAAGAAGTTTGCAAGATTTGTACCGGGCCTATATATATATTGTTATAACCGCTGGAATGATCAAATTGCGCTACGACAAAGAAATTTTTGATATGCAATGGGACTACTACTCGGATTCTGCTGCTAGCGACTCGACTGCTTTCACTTCTAATGCTTTTCATTATTATCGTAATGATGAAGATGATGACAAAGACGACGGTGTTCGAGAAGTTAACAGTGATAAAGACAGAAACTTTTGATATGCTCTGGGACTACTATGATCTTTCTGCTAACAACTCGCTTGTTTTCATCGACAACAACGACAGCATTAACATTAATGACAACAACGATTTCAAAGCAACACTCACCAACTATTCAACTTTTGATGATAATGTTGACATTAATGACAACAACGATTTCAAAGCAACACTCACCAACTATTCAACTTTTGATGATAATTTGGATGAGACGTTAATCTGGGAAAGCATAAATCTAGAGATTAACGATGTCAGTGGAGTTGATTCTAATGCTGATGCGAATATTCATACTGAACACAAATTGGTTACAGATGACGTTTCAAGTTTTGGGAAAACTCTTCCAGCATGCACTTAGAATGAAAGCTTGATCCTTGTCTACCTGGATGATATCAACGACGGCTTCATTGCTGATGAGGATGAGTTTTTCATCACTGATCGACAGGAAAGATGTCAACGACGAATCTTACATCATGCATCAAAGCTATCGGTTAGCTTACTACAAAATCAAGAAAGAACTACGACGGCTTTTTATGGTTAAAGGAACCGAAAAAACGGAAATGCGGTATGACCTAAAAGGAAATTACTCTAGTTTCAAGACCAAAGACCTGGTCTGGTTGTACAACCTACTGCGCAGAAAAAGGCAATGCCCTGCTAAACTTTCAAGAAATTGGAAAGATTGGTACTAGGTCACTAACAGGATAAATGACGTGACCTACAGGACCAATAAAGCTGTGGCCATCAGATTGAAGATTGGGATTGATCAGTTCTGTTTAATTGCTTTTTATAGACCTGGCTCGGAACAGATGACTTTAGTATTCCTTGAAGAGCTGATTTCTATGTTGGTGCTTATTACAATGTCGGAGGCTCGTGGTGTACTTATGGATAATTTTAACATTCCGTTGGTAAGAAGAATAGTCCTAATACTCTACGACTACATGAAATACTTGATATATTCTAGCTGGTATTCACAAACGCATGTGTCTGAAGTACTTGAAGTTAGATCTAGTGATTTGTTCACATGATTTTCCAATTTTTGATACTAAGATTGATCCGTGTCTGACAATTTAGTGCCTATGCGGGTGATTTATCGTAAACAAACAAATGCTGCACCTTGGTTGATAGCGAGTGAAAGAATCTATAGGAACTGTCCGGAAATTGGGCGTCAAAGGAACTGGGCATTGAAGACTAAAAACAATCTTTTTTCTGACAAGCGTATGCATTATTTTAACAATATCGTAAATAGTTGCAAATAAGATGTTAGATAAATGTTCGGCAAACACTTCTTTTAATGATAACTCTCTAAATGCTGATCAGATTTTACAATTTTTGATGATAAAATTGCGAGGATGATCGAAAACAAAAAGCGCACATCCTGAGGTTCGGCTTGAAGCTGTCTCGATGTTGGATAAATTCTTCCTCTCCTGCTTTCCGTTGGTTGCTGAAATTCAGTTAAGGAAGGAAAACGATAATTAAATCACCAACGAAAACATGCAGATTGGACATGATCCCTACGCCTATTTTTATAAAATACTTTTATTCATTTATATGTTTTCTGACGAGATTTATAAATCTTTTCCAACTGTAAGCATGCGACGATTCAACCGATCTTGAAAAAGGCTAACTCAGATGCAAATGAGGTGAGTAACTATAGACCAATATCAACCCTTTCCTTTATTTCAAAGGTTTTTTAGCGTGTCGTTGTAGATTTTCTGATGAAACATCTAACGGTAAACAATTTAATGCCAATCAATCTTTTGGAAAAATAATTGGTACTTTATCTAAAGTGTCCAAGTTTGTTTGTCCTGCTTGCATCAATCCACAACAACAAATTTGAAATAGCAATAATTTTGAAGCCATTAGGGTAGAGAAAGTCACATCGTTTCAATATCTAGGGGATGATCTAGACTATACTGGAACAGCTGAAGCTGCCGTTCGAGCACGCATACGAATAAATGGCATCTCCTTGCCTCTATATCCCACTACCTTACGATCAAGACTTTATAAATTTGTGATACGTCCGGTGTTTTTATATGGTGCAGAAACATGGCCAATGACAAACAACAACTTCAACGAACCGACATGAAAATGCTCCGATGGATGCAACGAATTAGTCTGAAAGACCACATCAAATCTACCGAAATCCTGCGTCGTGCTGGTTTAGATGATATAAAGGACGAATGCCGGCAACACCGTCTATATATATATTTATATATATATAATATATATATATATATATGTGACTTTCTCTACCTTATATATATATATATATCCTTATATATATATATATATATATATATATATATATATATATATATATATAAATAAAATCAAAAGGGAAGTGCCTCCGAAACGTTTGAATGTTGTCAGTTTATCACAAAATAATGAGATCAAGATCAAATATGACGTTGTTATACGAAATCGTTTTCAGTTATTGACGGAAGATGTAAATAAATATCAAATTTTTAGAGATGTTTTGACAGAATCAGCAAGGGAGTTATACCTGTGAAAGAGATAAAAGGTCTGAAATGTAAAAGATGTCATCGTATTTCTGATAAATGAACGAAGGAAAGTGAAAGGCTGCAGTCCTGATTGATATAAAAAGCTGGACAAAACAATCAAAATAATGTGCTTAGACACAAAAGATTGAATAACAGATGCGAAATCATTGAAAGTATTAAAAACATTAATACATATGCAATGAAATCACTGGAAAAAGGGCTAGTACCGATTCTGGATGCATAAAAGTTAAATCCGATGAAGTAATCTTAGAGAAAGAAAACTTCATGCTGGTGGATAGGGGAAAGTCCTGGGCAGGGAGACCTTCTAGGATTGCATGGTGATCGTCGACATGCTGGAAAGGCGAAGGGTTGACATCTGAAACAAAATGGAAATCAAATGGTGTCTCTCTCATTGGAGTTACAAGTTGTTCTGGAATGGCCAAAAGACATCTAACAATGGAGTGGGAATCTTCATACTGGAATCACTGGCACAAAATGTACTGGAGGTGGCTTGAATCAGCTCACGCCTAATGATGATTAAACTTAGAAAACAGAACCTGTTTTCTCTGCATATGCACCACAGACCGGTGAATCTGAAGACGCCAAAAATGACTTCTGGAACACACTCTCAGATGCCGTCAGGAAAACACCATCATCAGAGATACCATTGATATCTTTCCCTGTTGAACACCTACTTCAAGAGACAGAAACTGATGAATGGAATAAAAAAGTCCGACCCATAACGGATGGAGGCTTTAAACAAGTATTGATTGATTGATTTTTTTCGATGATATTCGTAATGAAAAGCCATCTATTAAAAAAGACGTAGAATGACCAAAGATACTTAGATCTAAAGTTTGTACGGCTGTTTCCAAAATTAAATCAAAGCATCAGGCCCAGATGAGATTGCTGTTTAAGAAATTAAATACCTTTATGAATTTGGCATTCAAAAAGTAAAAGAACTTTTGAATGAGATATCAGCAGTGAAATTTCTGACAAAATTTTAAATCAATATTTATTGCATTCTTTTAAAAACCTAATGCAAACGAATGTCAACTACATCGAACAATCAGCTTGATGAGTCATCTTACAAAACTTCTTTTGAGATTTCAAAATGAGATCTGAAATTTCAAATATTCAATGTTCTTTTGTCGAAGATTGTGGTACAAGAAACTTATCTTTGATTATCAGTGATCAAGTGATTGAAATGAAGAAAGACTTGTTTTGTCGATTACTCCAAAGCTACAATACGATTACAATAGCGTCAAACACCTGGAGTTTATGGAAATATTGGAAAATTTTAGACTAGACATGAGAGTTATCAAAAACCTCTACTAGGACCATAGAACAGCGATGAGTGTGTTGGTAACAAGATGACTAGTTTTGTCGAAACAAAGAAAGGCCGTATATTTTCTTCAGACTAGTACAATCTCTATAGTGAGATCATCATAAAAAAGATCTACCTTGAATCTATTGGAGGTGTGAATAGAAACAATGTAAGATATACTGATAATACAGCTCTTATAGCTGTATCAATTTGAAAACTGCAAACAACTGTTTCCAAATCGGTTTTTGAAAGTAAAAGAAAAGGCTTGTAAATTAACATCAACAAAACAGTGCATGGTTATCAGCAAAACCGTCAAAATCTGCTCCATAATCGTAAACAGATGAAACAAGTCAAATTCAATTTTCTTTGAAGTTTGACGAAGGATAGCTATGGCGAAAGATATATTCTAAAATTAAAACTGTTAGAGTGTTACATTTTTTGTATGCTCACTTACGGCTTTGAGTCCTGAACGAAAAAAGATTGATACTACTGAGATGGGGTTTTTGATCTGCTCCATAATCGTAAACAGATGAAACAAGTCAAATTCAATTTTCTTTGAAGTTTGACGAAGGATAGCTATGGCGAAAGATATATTCTAAAATTAAAACTGTTAGAGTGTTACATTTTTTGTATGCTCACTTACGGCTTTGAGTCCTGAACGAAAAAAGATTGATACTACTGAGATGGGGTTTTTGAGAAGAATTATGAAAATTAGTTGGACCTCTATACTTCCAAGAAGGTTGTATTGAAACAGTCCGGTTATGAAATTATGAAATGATTAAAGAAATGGAAAATCTAACAACTACTGGAAAGATTGCAGGTAGAAGAGACAACAAAGCACCACTTTTCAACTACTAAAAAGTGTTTAATATCGTGTTTTGTGATTAGTCTTTAGTCGTCATTGTCCAGAAAGAATAAAGCACGAGATGAAGATGTTCCAGATGGTGAATTGTTTTTTCCTTGAGCTAGTTCTTCGCCTCTTTTGGCTTTCATGGTTGGATGCCAGAGAAGAATATGTGCATTTAAATAACCAAGAACGATTGATTTCGGATTGTTTGATTGTTTGTTTGTTTGATTGATTGACTGATTGAGGCGGTGTAGTTGTTAGGACGGCTGCTGTTATGTTGTAATTAGTTGTGTATAGTGTTATTGCGTTTAATAAGGTCTTGTCAGTGTGTTTTGATTTTTTGATAGCAGCAAACCGATGCTGCTTAACGAGAGTGATGATTTTGGATTAATTAAGCTGAAGATCTGCAACCACATGAGGGGAATATAAATAGCTAAAAATGTCTAAGTTTCAATTAATTATTTATTTTCTGTCGATATTTCGTGGTAGGAATTTCTCAGAATATCAGATGTTGACCTGTTTGAATTCTAAATTTTTATATTTTTAGAAAAAAAGTTTAATCGAGAAGATTTTAGATTTGAAAAAGATATCTTCAATGATGACTATCGAATTGAGTCATAATTGAAATCTGATTTTTTTAAATTTATAGTTTGGATGTATCTCAGTCCTGTTAGCTATGGGCAATAAATAATTATTCTTAATAGTTAAAATTTATAAAGATTATAAAGTTTTTTTTACAAAGAAACTATCAGTGTATATTCTCCGTTAATAGAAAAGAGAGTCAGAAATTTTAGCCTGTAAAGAAAGAAAGAAAAATTTTAAGATTTAATAAATGAAATGGTATTGAGGCTAACAAGATGATTTTATATGTGACGCAAACGACAACGTCAAATAGGAGAAAAGAAATATAAGCAATTATAAGTAGTCATAGGTTAATTAAAAATCTAAGGAAGAGATATAAGATGAAAAAACTTTGGCGCATAGGATTTTTTTTTAACTATCAACAATGGCCATAATGTAATTTTTGAAAAAATAATGCTTTTACCTTATAGTACTGTGAACTTTTTCAGACGAGCCTTGCACTATCTTAAGGCGCATAATTCATCGATTGAGATAAAATTCTATTGCCAACAAACAAACAGAAGCCAGAATAGAGAAGTCATTGGATATATTACTTTGGATATCAAAAAGTCTTTCAGTAGTTCATTGAAACAGGTTTTTATTCATTCTTTATTCTAGCAAAAACGGTTTTAAAATTTAAGATGAATTTTACAATATTTTTTGTTTATTTATATTTTATCAAAAGAACGTTAAAACAATTTTATCATAGGAATGAAAACTTGTTTTACTTTTAGTGTTTGCTGTTAAAAAGCAACCAGTTTTTAATCGTTTTATGAACGGAACAAAAATATGAAAATTTCTGATCGATATTTGTGGAATAAGAAAAGAATTAATGTTTATCTATCGGAATTTGTAAATTTATTACCGATATATTTGAAAAAAAATAAATATATATCGGTCTAAAAGTCTAAGTGGCAAGAAATATTATTTATACGGTATAAAAATCAGTTCGATCAAAACGTTGTCAATGCCGATTAGAAACGAGAACTTGAAGATTTAGTTTCGATCATAATTTTATGAAATAATATATATAGGAAATCAACAAAATATAATACTACCTATAATATTGTTATATCCGTTATAATAGTCGATAATACTAATTATTTGTTATCTTCGTTGTCTTTGCTTTATTAGTCATCTTCGTAGAACTGTATCTAAGTTATCTTTCACAATCGAAAGACCCTTTTTAAATACTGGTTAGTAAAACATCACAGTGCCTAAACTGGATATTTCTAGTTGATTTTAAATTAAGAATAACTTGTAGCATAGGTGAGATATTTTTTATAATTAAAAAAAGAAGGTAAAATATCTTTTTTCTTGTGTCTTATCCTTGCAGGACCTTGGCGACCATCGACCTCCACAAAACCCGATCTTTAACACTTTGAAAGAGTTATTTGTTGTTGACCACGACCGCAATCTTTCCAGTAGTTGGATTTTCCATTCTTTCCTTTCTCGTGATGTGAGAAACTTTAACTGCTCCCGTCGGTTATCTGTAGTAATTCTCTTTTCATCACCGGACTGTTTTATTTTAATACATCCTCATTCGAAGTATGAGAGGTCCAACTAATTTTCATAATTCTCAAAAATGATTATGGAGCAGATCGGGGCGGTTTTGCTTTTACTGATAACCATGCACTCTGTTTTGTTGATGTTAATTTTCAAGCCTTTCCTTTCACCTTCAAAAACCAGTTTGGAAAACATTTGTTTGCAGTTTTTCCTTTGAATCTGCTATAAGGGCCGTACCATCAGCATATCTTCTCCAATGGATATTCCAGGTAGATCTTCTATCTTTCTTATGATGATTTATTATAGATTCACTATAGATATTTTACCGATAGAGATATATATATATATACTCTATAGAGATATAGAGATTCCACCGAAATCCTGCGTCGTGCTGGTTTAGATAATATAAAAGACGAATGCAGGTTTGGTCATGTCAAACGAAGTAGAAACAGTGCCATAACTTTTCTTGCAGATGTTGAAGTACCTGGCACACGTCCCAAAGGCCGCCCAAAGAAGTTCTGGTCGCAAACAATCGAGCTAGACGTTAAAGCTCTAAATTTAAATGAAATGGATACAACTGATTGTCTAATTTGGCGCAAAAAATTGATGGCAAATAAAACAACGTCCAACCTTTCTGAACGCTAAACGAAGATTGATTGATTGATTTTATTCAATCGAAGATTTGAACCCGTCGTAAATCGGTTACGACAGCGAGTTTTATAACATTGGTGTCAGAAGTGGGATCTTCGACTAGCGAATAGAACTCATAAAAAAAGAACACGATGTCAAAACTCTGTGGTCTGGTAGTTCAGCTACGAGAAGAGCTACAGGAATTAACAAAGAAGTACTAGTAGCACGTCTGAGAGAAGCTCTCATTGACGAAGGTAAGAACACAGACGAATTCAAGTTTGATTGTGCTGACGAAGACAATGAAATTAGCAAATTCACGTTTACAACCGATAAAATGATGGAACTTCTGCTTAGTATGTCAACTGAAATGAAACAGATCAAAGAACAGTCCGAACGACAGTCCGAACAACCGACAGAAGAGTTAAAACAGATCAAGGACCAGCTAAAACACGTAAAATTGGAAGTGGCAGAACAGATTGAAGAACAGTCAACAAGAATAGAAATGATCGAGCACAAACTTGATCGTCAGACCGTTGAGGTAGATCACAAGATAGACAAATTGAAGCGAGAATTGGAGCAATCCAAAAATATGGCCATGCCGTTAGATCACGCATCCAGAAGAACTTTGAAGGTACCAGCATTTGACGGAGAGATGTCCTGGAACGTTTATCAAACCCAGTTCGAAGCTGCGGCAACTAGTAACTGTTGGAACGGAAAAGAACGAGCAACAGCACTGATAATGGCCCTGCGAGGTTCAGCAGCAGAGGTTCTTCAGACGATTCCGGCGGAGAACCACTTCAACTATGAAGTTCTGGTTAGCGCGTTGGATTTATGTTATGGTGAAGAACACGTGAAACAGATTTATCGGTTTCAGCTTAGAAACAGAACGCAACGATCTGGTGAATCCATTCAGCAGCTGGCACAAGATATCGAACGGTTGACATTGCTGTCATATCTGACATCAGACCCCGAGCATAGAGACGAAACTGCCCTGGATACGTTTATCAAAGCCCTTCGTGATTCGGAACTCAAGCAATCCCTTCTCTTGTCAGATAAACGAAAACTCAAGGATGCCGTTGCGCACAGTCTCACTTTTGAATCGGCAAAGCAAGCATCAAAAAGTGACGTACGTCTACGCCAAGTAGATGAAGAATGCCCTTGCCAGAAGGTGGTTGTGAAACGCGAACCTCACAGCATGGGGTACCCCAATGCTGGATTTGTGGTGAAAAAGGCCATCTACGTCGTGATTGTAAACACCGCCTAAAAGATAACTACTGCCGAAATTGCGCGACAAGATGGCGCAAAAGAAGAGAATCCTGTATCACGATCGGAAAACTAATAAGAGCCAACTTTGTGGGGCAGAGGTTGGCTAGTAGAATTGACGCCCCCAGTACCGTAATTAACGTTTCCAGACTACATCGAAATCGAAACCACCTATGGTTGAACGGAAAAGTTGATCAACAAGAATATGTAATTACAGTCGACACCGGAGCAACAAAATCGATTTTAAGATCTGATTTGGTACCCAATCTGAAGAAAGAGACTTCTAACAAATACATCCTTCGAACAGCTACCGGAGGAACAGCACCAGTCTATGGAAAGATTCTCCGTACTGTTCAGCTAGGCGAATTGTTATTCGAAGGTTCATTCTTAGTCGCGGATATCATCGACGAATGCATAATAGGTGTTGACTTTCTGACAAAATATGGGTTCAAAATTGACTTAGGAAAACGCATTCTTAGTTGGAGAAATACAGAAGTGATAATGGGGGATAGCGACGAAAAATGCATTCGAGTGACAGTCGATTGTGACATAGAACTACCTCAATCATCTGAAAACATCGTATGGGGCAAGTTGAATTGCGATCCTGGGGACCACCAGTTCTATTTGATAGAGCCAACCTCAACGACAAATGTACAAAACGCGGTCTTTGGAAAATGCCTGGTAGAAGCGAACAAAAATGGTCTTATTCCTGTCAGAATAATGAATACCGCTAAACACACTATTAAAATTAAAAAAGGCGAGGAAATAGGTAATTGCCAATCAATAAATTTGGTGAAATCATTAGATATGGAGCAACAGGAAAAGGTTCTACCAACTGACAAAGGTAGACTCAAAGAACTTACCAAAAATTTACTGGATGAACTCAATTTGTATCAAGAAGACCGTCTAAAAGCCGAGGCGTTGATTGCTGATTTTGCAGACGTGTTTTCAACCGGTGACAATGACCAAGGTAAAACAGCTCTGGTAACTCACCGAATTGATACTCAGAATTCGAAACCGATCCGACAAGTACCACGACGTCTTCCTCTAGCAAAACAAACAGAAGTAAACGAAATGATAACGACAATGCAGAATCAAGGCGTCATCGAACCGTCATCAAGTCCCTGGATTTCGCCAGTTTTCGTAAAGAAGAAAGGACGTTCTCCAAAGCTCCAGCGAGTGTGGGAAGGACCTTATCAAGTCATCACCTGCTTGATTGACGTCGTCTACCGTATTCAGGAATATCGGAAGCCGAGAGCAAGAATGAAGATCGTTCATTTGGATAGACTGGCTCCGTACCATGCGGACACCGGAACGAAAGTTGTTCGGGACGAACAGAACTAAGAAGGGGGTAATGTTATAACCGTGCTACCGAACGCACTAGAAGAATCTAGAAGAATTTAGAAACGACGCTTGCGAAGAGTATATAAGCGCACGTCGCAAGGAGATTAGCGATTAGTGAAATTCGTGATTTTGTAAATACGTGACTCTGTGATTTTGTGAATAGCGATTATTTAAAGCGATATTTGATTTGTTTTG